GTGCGGGGCTGGCTGGAGACAGGGGCTGGTGCGGGGCTGGTGCAGGCAGAGGGTGCGGGTACAGCCCACCATGTACGGTAAGTGCCCCCTCCTCTTCCCTCCCCCACCGGGGTAGCAGCAGCAGCCCGGGGCTCGGGGGCTATTTAAAGGGCCCGGGGCTCCCCTGCTTCCTTTAAATAGGCCACCGCCCTGGCCCTTTAAATAGCCACGGGAGCCCTGGGGAAGCGGTGGGGCTCCAGCAGCTATTTAAAGGGCCGGGGCGGTAGAAGCAACGGGAGCCCCGGACTTTTTAAATAGCCCCCAGAGCCCCGCAGCCCTACCCAGGGCTCTAGCAGTGGGGCTCTGGTGGCAATTTAAAGGGCCTGGGGCGCCATCCCCTGCTGGGAGCCCCAGGCCCTTTAAATTGCCCCCTGGGGAAGCTGGGCCACCCGGGTACAGCACACCGGCTCTTGCCGGTACGCCATACCAGGGCTTGGGCGCGGGGCCCTCTTAGGGGCGGGACCCGATTCAGGGGAATTGGTTGAATTGGCCTAAAGCCGGCCCTGCTTTTACGCTAACCTTAGTGTCCAATGCTCAATTTTCTCATCAATAACCTTGGTGGAGGAGGAAATATTTTCAGATCCGGGAGGGGAATTCTCTTTGGGGATTTTGTTTTCTTTAACCAGTTACTGATTATTAGCACAGTGATATTGTGTACACTGTCACTATTTGCTTTTGTCTGTCTCAAAACAAGACATATTTGTTTGACTGTTAAAAAAACAAGAGGCAACTTAACTTCCTGTTTGACTTCAATCAACTAAAATACGTAGCTGCACACATGACTGCCTGCCTTACATACACAGTGTGCCATCAATCCTCGCTGTCTCTCAGTCTCCCGACTCCTGCGAGCCGTACTTTGCCAAGATCTGGATTTATAAGCTCTTTCAGCTAAGAATTTAGAAAGGTGTGGATGTGTTTGCCAGAACCAAGCTAATAAGTGTCACTGATTTGTCAATGAACCATTCTCTTGTGCGGCTGTTGTCACTGTCCCAAGTATCTTGCCTGAGGGACATTTTAGAAAGGGGCAAGGAACGGAGAGACAGTGCATTTTTTGCTGTTGTGGAGATGAGAAGCAGCTGTTACTGCCAGCCATATATTGTGCCATCTTACAACAGTGGTTCCTGCCCTTCGCATTCTCATTGACAATTGTATCTTAAGTGCAATACTGCTTTTCATTCCTTTGTATCGACACCAAGAGCATGGTTTACATCTGGATATGAATCGTCTTTATCTACCTATTCTCCTCCCTCTCCCATTCGAATGTTGTCTGACAGCAGGATACTACGCCAATAGGTGGGTTCCTATGTACCGCATCTAGGGCTGGAAAGTTGGAAGTTTATTTGACAGTCACAGGTGCGGCCCCGTGAATGGACTCCATCACGGCTGCGAAGCGGCTGCAGAGGTCGTAGGGGGAGTTGGGCCGGATCTTCGGGGGCTCTTTTAGAATGATGACCTCTGCAGAGCAGTCCAGGAGCCTAGGGAGCAGTTCGCCCAGCTTCGTTTGCAGGTTGGCTGTGGAGGTGGAGGAAGAGGAAAGAGTCAAATGCACTGGAACAGGCAGTTACAAAAAAAGGCCAATCGCAGCAGGTTTTAGCGTTGCAAGGAAAAACAGCTGCTACGCTTTTTAGATAATTATCTACCACAGCCAAAAACTGCTCACCTCGAGCATACAGATGAGTATTGTTTTATGGAGGAGAGACAATGTCTGGTCTATTTAAGTCCTGTATCTTATCTCTATCAGTAGCCAATACCATATGGTTCAAGGGTGGGAGGGGAGAACACACCAAACTCCTCCCCTCCCTCCCCCCTAACACACACAAACTATCGTACACTATATCACAACCTAGCTGCTTGGCAAACCAGTGATGTGACGTTACTAGGAATATAACTGGCGTATGTTACCAGTGCCACTACCAAACAGGCTTTCCTCAATCCAGGCCACTTTACATGGTCATCCCAAACCTAAGTCTCTAACCTTGCAATCTCAGATTTATGCACTACATCTAGTATAGGCCAAGCATTATTCAGTCCTTCATGAATGACTACCCTCCAAGTGCTGACCCAGTAAACTCCAACAACACACAACGAGTCAAATTTGTAATCATCCGATAATGCAAACCAAAAGTAGACACCCCCTTCCCTGAGAGTGATGGGAATGTAGCCCCAACAGAAGAACAAGCAGAAAAGGGCACAGTCCTCTAACTGATGATGTACTGCATAACAAAATTAACCGGAACTGCCAATTACTGTAAAAAAAATTCTGACCTCACTGTCCGGTCAATGGTGGAATGTAAACATTTCTCCTGTGGGAGGGCTGTTCCTGTCACATCAGGTATTAGCAGAAACTCCTCCCCTATTTCAGCACTTGGCAGGCCAGCTCTCTAGTAGCTCATTAATTTGAGGAGCTCAAGACTTTCCAGGGGAATGTGCTTAAAACCATGACAACACCCTTTTCTGCTGCTGACAGATTAAAAATCAACTGACTTAACCTCATGCACAAGCAATTTTACATGCAACATGAACAGAGGCTGGTGACAACAGACTTGGCCCATGCAACACAACGAGAGATGGCAACTGCTGAGTTCTGCTCCTTTCACTATTGGAATTCCATTACATGGAGGAGTTTATAACAAGGCCAAATTTGGGGAAGTCAAACTGCTAGCAAATTTCTCCAGCTTTCTACTTTGCAGCAGCATTTTGAGAACAATCCTCCATATTTCTACCTCACTTTCCTGTAGCAAGTTTACCCTCTGCTGGTTAAAATAAGCAGTGTTAAGAGTCTCAAGCCTGTTCTCTTACCCAGGCTGAGAGGAGTCATGGCAGCTTAACTTTGGCACATGAAAGGAAATGCAGAATAAACGCAGTTATCCAACACTGAAATTCAGACCCAGAATGACCAGCATCTCCTCACTACACTCTGGGTCTAATGGGCAATTCATTGCCAAGCCTCTTCAAAGCTTGACACAGCTAGCTTCCCCCATCCCTTCCTCAAACCCTTTGGCTACTGTACAGGGATTTGTAGTTATGAAGCTGTACACAGCTAGGAAAAGTTCCCGTCAGTATGTCTCATTTCCAGCATGAAGTCAGAGTGTCTCACATGCCAGCTACATGCTTAGAAGCACAAATGCACTCAGTCAGTTTAGAACCTTTTCTCTCTTATCTTACAGGCGAGCATTCATATACAAGCCAACAAAATCTGCTAATGTTAGTGTGTCCGTGAAATCACTCTGGCTGAAACGTAGGTTAAAGTACTGATCACAAAGAACAGATGAGACCAAGGTGCCTATGTCACATATTTTAAAAAGAACAGGAGGACTTGTGGCACCTTAGAGACTAACACATTTATTTGAGCATAAGCTTTCGTGGGCTAAAGCCCACACGGCTGCTACTCTGAAACATATTTTAAAATCGTTCACTTCTTATATTTCAATGGTCAGGGATCTATTTTCTGTAGTTGTAGGACAAACAACAATCAAATTGTCCTCTAAATATGAGCACATGTTTTCAGGCCTAAGTCCAGTCACAAATTCCCAGACACGCTACATATACAGGGCAAATCCTAAGAATGCTAGGAAGGATTTTAAATAGGCAGTAAAGTCCTTTTCTAGTTTAGATCTATGGAACAACTTGACCACTCAGAACATCGGATTTTAAGGGAAGCAAACAAGTCAGCAATTCCCTACCATCCATGTCTTCTTGTCCCAGATAAGAGCACCAGCGGTTCCTCATGACCTCAATGGCATCCAGGTCGTCCTTGGAGATGTCATTATTGATAATGAGGTGCATACAGGGGATGATCAGCTCATTCAGGATGTTAATGCCCTCCAACACATCTGCCTCCGCACTGCTTACAAACAAAGCCGCGGCCATGTCATTCAGCTTCTGTGGGAGAATCAGGGGTCACAGACATTTGAAAAAGCCCTGACTTCAGAGCATGAACAGGCTACTGGGAAAGCTGCACATGACCCACGACTCTTCCAGCTGATGGGAATGTATGGAATGCACACGGACTAATGGGAGCTGACGTGTGCACCAAGAGAATGTAACCCTTAGAACAGTGGTCCCCAAATTTTTGTGGTCACCCCCCTCCCCACTTGAGCTGCGGCTGGAAGAGGGCCCGGCACCGGGGCCATGGTCAGGAGCGGAGCCGCAGCTGGGGCCACAGCCAAGATCGAGGCCACCGCTAGGTCCACGGAGCCATAGAAAGAGCTGCAGCTGGGGGCGGGGCTGAAATGGAACTGGGGGCAGAGCAGGGCTGGGTGGCACTTCTTCCCCGCCCCTTGTGGGGACTGGCCCAGACCCTGCCACACACTCCTCCCCCCCCCCAAATGTGGGCACACCCCACAGTTTGGGGACCACCGCCTTAGAAGGATTAGATCAGAGAGAACATATTGCTCCAGAATTAGCTCTAAAGTATACAAATAATTTTGGCTTTGAGACGCTAAGATTCAGATCCAGAAACACCAAATGGATTCCCTGAGATCCAAACTCCATCACTTCAGTGAATTTTGCTTCCTAGATTTTCATATTAGTGATGGTACTTGGGAAGGGGTAGATGCCATGATAATAGGTGCCTTAGATATAATTACGCTGGCCTCAGCAGCCATAACGAAGCAGGCACTAAAAATAAGTCTCTGGCTGCTGCTGCTTATTCGTTTCCCAAGGAAAGCCACATTACCTGGTGCCCAGCAAAAGACTCCCACTGGTTACGAAGGAAGAAGCAACGTTGGCTCCCCACAGGGAGGGAAGAGTAGATATTGCTCTTGGTGAAAAGCAAATGGCTGGCATCCACCCCCTCCCTGAAAGATTGTTTTAATGAGAGGCTCTTGTACCGTGTCTGTAAGGAGGTGCATGATACATTTGTCTCTTTGGGCAACCTGGAGTGAAGAGACAATGTGTAGATGTGAACTGAAATCACTGAGCTAGAAGGGGTGAGTATTTAAGGCTGACCAGTCTACCACTGAGATTGTTCACTTTCAATTTAAGACTCAATAAGATACAAACCAAGAGGCATTTTCTTCTGTATAAAGCAATCAGTGATTCATCCACCCCTCGGTTGGGTCCTTTCATGAGCAGGGTGGTGTTACTTTGGTAGGCATACACCAGGTAGGTCAGTGCTTCCTGGTACCTTGGAGAAGGAGAAGGGTGTTAGTAGTTCATCAGACCAGGTGCCACATATTCCAAAAGCTGCAGTCAAGCTGTCCACCCAGGCCAGATTCCCCACTTCTTCCCCAACAGAGACAAACACGTCACCTTCTTAACAGTGTTATTTGCTCCCTTCTCTCTTTTTCATTCACCAAACCTCTCAAGAGCAGGCCCCACACTAGGCAGGTTAGCTTTCCGTATGCCTCAGGGACGCTTTGGCTTTCTGGTTTCAACCCCAATATTTAGACTCTGGTCTAGAATTCCTCTGGTTTCAGTGGGAACTTAGAGATGAAAGACACTATTAGAAGTTTGGAGAACAGTATTTTTCTTTAGAGACTCCAGGGTTATATTTAGAGCTGGTCGAAAAAATTCTGATGAAACACGTTTTCATCCGAACTCGCCAGTTATCTAATTCTAAACGTTTTTTGAGACTGTTCGATTTAAACCAAGCTCCGACAGAGAACTCCCTGACCTGCCTGATTTCCTGCCAATGTACCCGCCTACTGGACTACCTCAGAGTCGGGGACCCCAGGGTTTCCGTGGCGCCAGGGCAGCCTGCCGGGCAAGCTCTCTCAGAGCCAGGGCTTGAGAATTCCAAAACTTTTAGTTTACATTCCGAACTGGAACAAACCAAATTCTGAAATACTGAACTCCTCTGTGAAAAGGAATGATCTTTCTCCATACAGCTGTCTATACGGTATACTGCTTGCAGTATGGGGGAAAAAGCCCAGCTTTTCAGTTCAAAGTTCCAGGGAGCTCTGTTTCTACGTAGGAGTCAAATTGTTTTCAAACACAATGAGAGTTTCATTTTCACCCAACTTTCCCGAGAGCCAAGTAAAGGCAGTTAGTGCGCTAAATGCTCTCCAAGGACCAGAATGCAAAGTTCCGCTCGTGGAAAACAAGCTGGGAACTGTGTAAGAAGCCGTATCACAAATCCACCTATTAACTCAGCACAATAGTTACACTCTGGCTCACGGTCAGCTCTGAGCCTGTACAGCAAGGAGTACTGGCAGGTCAGGAATCAAGTACCTTGGGAAAAGCACAAGGGCCCCCAAATTGCAATACATAGGGTGCTGCATGTCGGGAGCAAGGGGTACTAGCAGAGAAGCAGGCGCTTTTAGGTATCAGTTACCCCATAGCTTCATCCAAAATGTAAATATAATGAAATTAAACCTACTTTCTATTCTGGTAGAGTTCCAACCCTGTCAGCAGGTAAACAGACACCTTGCGAAATAAACTGTAGTCTTCATGCCATTTCTGTTACGGGTAACGGGGAATATTACAGGTTAGTCAATAACATGCTTTCATGTACCCGTATGTCTGGGACAAGTCCCCCACCCGCAGCAAAACCTGGTATGCTAGCTCATTCAGCCTCTGGCACGGAGAGCTCTTACATGGGACATGAGCTCACTCGAGCTGGGGGCAAGTTCTCAACATCCCCTTTGCTTCCCCATACAGCTCAAGAACACATTCACCAAGACAGAGGAGTCTCTGGCAATGTTTAACTCCAAACTGGGAGCACCGAGTGAGTGCCCTAGAACAAGTGTGAAAACACAAACAGCTGATGATCTGTTGGGGGTGAGGGGGAAGAGGTTAGCTACATAGCTCCCATTCTCATCATATAGACTGACTGTTCCAGGAGCAAGTTAAAGATCCCACAGCACCTTTCAAAAGGGATAGGGCTAAACTGAAACCCCTGTGTCCTGGTCAGAACGCCTCAGGAAACAGCTCCTAATGCTTCTGACGATATAACGTTACCAATGGGTATGTAATAGTTGCTGTGTTTGTTTGCACAGTCAGTGCACTGCCACTATCTTGCTCACTGCTTTGGGACACCTCCAGCACTAAGGCATTAGAGAAAAGGAAAAGGTTCGAGTCCCTTACCTTATACTCCTCCATATTCACATCATCAGGGCCAATCTCCTTCAGCTTAGCTCGTGCTACTTGCATAATGCTAATTGACCTGTTCAGTGCAACAGAGAGACATTAGAGAATAGCGAAGCTACAGAATCCCAAATCAGAAAGTCATGATAGTGGATCCCCTGGCACAAACCTTTCATCGTAGCTGAGGTTTCTATCTGCAAACTGCTCCAGGAGGGTCCGCTCCACTACCTGCTTGGGAGCATTGTTCCGCAAGAAGTAGACGAGCACGTGTTGCAGCCGGGGGTCATTGTGAGGGGTTGGGGTCTCTTTGGCCAGCAGATACAGTCTGGAGTACTCTTCATGGAATGCCTATCAAAGTCAAGCAAATGCTAAACGCCTATTCTTTATTAGTGCTGCACACTGAATTTGAAACCTGCAGTGGGAAGGTTGATTACAAGGCTATAACTGTCCTGTAACTTGACAGGATTCGGTGCAGAGATGTCTAACTGCTACTTACATTAGCTGGCAATTGCTTAGGGCATCTTCCATTAGTTTTAGGCCAGAAGGGACCATGAGATTGTCTAGTGTGACCTCCTGTATGTGCTATGCCATTATATATCCTCTGGATAACCCTATGCTGAGCCCAGTAACTTCAGTTAACTACAAGAGACTACACTGTTGTGTGCTACAGGCAGAGAACAGGAGAGACCGAGGTGCCACCAATGCCCAAAGTCCCTCTGATGGCAGGGAACTGACTAGGTGAGATAGGCTCAGATGATACCAGCAGGCAAACCACGCCCCATAACGCAATAAAAAGCGAAAAATCCCCAAAGGTCCCTGCCAGGCTGGCTGGGGTCTGAAATGAAATTTCCCCCCAAATAAGGTGATCAGTATGATCCTGAGCATGTGAGCAAGACACACTAGCCAGGCTTCTTAGAGGATTTTCTATACCAAGTCAGAGGACAGCTCCACCCAACCAATATACCACCTCCACTTTATAAAGACGGCTGAATCATATCAATCTATGCCTTAAGCAAAAACATCACCTTTAAAAAGAGAACCCAAGGGAGGTAAGCACTGGCTCCACTGACTTTCAATGGAGTTGGGTGCCTAACTCCCTTAGGCATTTTTGAAGATCCCAGTCCAAGTGCTCATTTTAAGGAACTCTTTAGAGACATCTCAACCCTTTGTTAAAATGTGAGAGGAACAAGAATGCAGCTGGCAAAGTGTTACTCTGAGCAATAATACATGATAGTCAGTAAACCAAAAGCCCCGTCCGATGTTCGTTCTCAATTGCAATTACAGGAAGTCACTGGTGTGATTTAGTACTACCAGAAGCCAATAGCATGGTAGAATGAATGAATTTTCCTAAGCCCTCTTTTTATTTAACTTCAGTTGTTTGTTTCTCTACAATATCTAGCCCAAACTAGCAATGACCCGCTCTCTGTTCAGGAATATTTACAATATTTACCTTTTTCTAGTCCCTCTTCCCATTGCATAAGCTTAGGAGGACATATTTTACAGAAATTCCTACAGTAAGTGTGTACATTTATGGCCCAAATTTAATTACACACCACATATGGCCTGGTTATGATTAAAATTTAATTTGTATTTTCTGGTGATAATTATATTGAGCACTTATACAGTACCTTCCATCCAAGGGCTCCAAAGTGCTTTTCAGACATAATTAAACCTCACAAGCTCCTGTGAGATAGGTATGGGAAGTATCATTTTTGCACTTGGGGAGAGAGAGAAGTGGAGTGATTTGGCCAAGGTCCCGCAGCAAGTCATGATCAGAGTTGAGACAAGAACTCAGGTCTCTTAACTCTCAAACTGTTGCTTTAAACAGACTATGGCAAATGCACTTGCTTGACTTTACTCAAGGGATGCATTGACTAATGTGACTAAAGATAAAAACATGCATAGATGTTCGCAGGATTTGGACTTACACTACCTTCCTAACATGCCCACCCACACCTCCCATTTTCGTTAGATATAAACACTGTGGGGTTGTTCACTTAAATGGACAATATTAGGTCTAATCTGGCCCAAAATGCAGGCTTGGGAAGGGGGCAACAACAGACTTTCCCAAACCTAGGACTACTAGAAATATTTCTATATTATTTGCCTTAGATTCCAACGTTTGTGTGTGTGCATACGTTTTAAACAAAAACATTGTATGCAACCTAAACACTGCAATTTTGTGCTCAAGCATGAGACGTGGAAGGCAAATCAGAGTTTTGAAAATCTTTCTGTTCTTGCAGTCTAACGGGTTATCTGTAACACAAGAAAGGATGCTTATAAAATGTAATGGGTTTAGCCTGACAATCTTTCTTTAATAGAGTCCTCTTAGTACAAGTAATGGAGTGGATAAACGGAAACGTGGAATAGAAAAAAAAAAACTTAGCTGAAGAGGAACTGCACAGGAAGAGAGAGAAGTGGCCAACTCACATCTGTAACATGTTGAAATAGCACGCATTTTTCACTGAAGATGTCAGCCTTGTGTGTTAAGAGATTTTTAAAAAGGAAAATAAAAGGGTACCTTAACAAGCCCTGCTTCAGACCCATCCCGGTCAAATGTCTGACGGGCTTTAGCAATAGCCAGGATCACACCCTGCATGGCTGGGCTAAGCATCACCTACCACAAGAACAACAAAAAACCCACACACAAAAACAGAGAGGAATAGAAGAAAAGCTGTAGTGATACAAGAAAAAAGTACAAAAAAGGTAAAGTTTTAAAGAAAAGTTGTCCAGATCTGAATGGAGATGCAATAACCCAGAGCTGCCATTTGACTACAAATTTAAGTTTATTATCATTATGTGCAAGTCCACCTCTTGCATGCACGGCCCATGCTGCTATAGATGTTTGAACCCTTCGCTGTGCCACCCCAACTACTCCTCCTGCACTCTCTTTCCCCCAAAGTCATCAGTAAGTGAAAATACAGAGCACACGAAACATAACTGGGGAGAACCTTGCAAAACTACCATTTAACATGAGAGCAATGCCTGAGGCAGAGCATTCCACTGTCCTACCATTACAACACAAGTGTATATTTAATGCAATCAGGTCACATCCAGCTCAACAGATGGAGCTATTGCATTGATAAAAATCCTTGAGACAAAACATAAATGTTGGTTTATGCAAAGGACAATGCTAAACCCACACCAAACCCTAAAAATGCGCATGTAAACTAATTGTCTGAACAAATTAATTCTCTTGCAGACAGATTTGTGTAGCTGATGTGCAACTATACGTAGAAAAAAGACTATGAACATTTTTAAGGTGTCTGATGTGGTATACTGAGCCTCATAATGGGGCTCTTTCAATTGCCAGCATCAGATACAGTACTTGTGATTGGAAAAGTCACATGGCATTGACTGTATGACACTGTCAGCTGACGATTATGATGATTATGTGAAAAGTAGAATCAAAGCCATTGACTACTGGGTGAAAAAAAAAAGTACCTCCTTGTGAAGCCAGGCGCCCTAGAAACACCTTAGATATGAGTGACAGGAAGGAAAGGAAGGAGAGAAAGAGGACTTAAAAAAGAAGATGTGTGTGTTTTTACAGAGTCACTTTTCAGACAACTTTTCAAATAGTTTAAAAAGTAAATTGCTAAACGATTGGATCCAACCTCTTTGCTTACTACAGAGGGAAAAATATACTTGAACTACACAGTTTCATGTCAAAACCACTACTCACCACAAATCTTCAGAAAGCCCCAAAGCAACCCACAATTGCAAAGATTAATGCCAGAAAAATAACTAGCTCCTGCACTGGGCTCTGTACCTCCTCATTATATCCATCTGCATCAGATCTAACCAGAATCTTCCCCACTCTGGGGATCTCCACTTCAGAGACCTGTGAGCTAGGCTGGGCAGCAGACTCTGTCCCTTTAGCATCTTGTTGCTGTTCTGACTGAACTGTAAGGGCTGTTTCTCTCAGCTGGGTCTTCGTTGGTTCTGCCTCCTTTGGCTGTGGCAGCAGAAAGAGGAGAAAGAGAATAAGAAACAAACAGAAAACCAAAACCAAAGAGGAAAGTAGAAAGGGATTGGGTTAAATGCAGCAGTGCTGCAGAATTATAAGCAAGTGAGAGAGAAAGAGGTTTGTTAACACAGAGATGCAAAAACAGCGGGCTGCTTCAGGGGCCACATTCCAGAGTTCTCACCTCACACAGAGCAGCCTCTACACCATTCTTCTCATAGGCATCAGCTGTATTTGCAATGGCCTGGGCAGTCTGGTCCTTTGCAATCCTGGCATGTTCGGAGGACAGCGAGCGTATGCTGTGTTCACAGCCTGAGGATTGGTCTGATTGGAAATTCAGAGAGATGTTAACATTCAATAATGTCACCAGGAAGGTACAAATCCAAATGGAAGAGAGGAAAATGGTAAACAGGATGGCTGCATGGTACTGTACCTTAGTATTTACCAGACACAGCGACCAACGTCCTTCCCATGCAATTCCACCTTCTATAACCTTGTAACTGGTTGCAGCCTCCTTTGTTACGGAAGCGCCAGCTCAGTTTTCCTCACACACAACTCAACTCTTGGGTAACATTCCAGAAAAGTCAACATTTCAAATGACAGGTCATTCACTGTAAACTCGATTAAGGTGCATCTACACTACAGCTGCAAACAAGCTTCCCAGCCCAGGGAGACAGATTCGGGCTAGCACACTAAAAATAGAAGTGTGGATGTTGTGGCTCGGACGGCAGCTCAGGCTCTCAAGTTTACCTGACCCCCTGAGCTTGGGTGGCTAGCGCAAATCTCCGCCAGAGCTGCAACATCTGCCCTGCAATTTTTAGTACACTAGCTTGCACTCCAGTAGCATGAATCTGCCTACCTGGCCTGGAAGGTTTGCTCCCAGCTGCAGTGTAGACGTACCTTAAAAGACCCGATTGAGCAAAGCACTTCATCACACAAGTAGTCAAACTGAAGTCAATGGCACTACTCATGTTTAAAGTTAAACACGTGCTTAAGTGCTCTAGCAGATTAGGGCCTAAGGTTTTTGTACACAGCTCAACAGACCCTGAGCTCAAGGGCCAGTATGTCACACATTCTGCTGGTCAGAAAAATAATTTTGTGGCCTCAGAGGACAGAATTTTGGACTACACATGGCAGAAAACCTTATTTGAGGAGAGATTTCTGTATCATTTGGTAAACGGTGATGCACAACCCTAGTTTTACATCACATTTGATTCTGAAGTTTGAAATTTAATCCCAAAGGAGACAAATTAATTAACTATCTCCCTGCACTTTCAAGAGGTTCTTCCTCACCTCCTTTCCTAAAACATGAAACGCTGCTGTGTACCATTAAACAGCATGACTGCACTTCAATGGCAATATTACACACAACCACATTTGTGAAGCTCAACGAGACTCACACTAAAAAGGACTGCTGTAATGAGTGGTCTCCCACTCAAGAGGTGAACACGTCAACGTTCTACAATAAACACACAAAATATTAATATAATTAAATCAAATTGAGATTAGATCATTGCCATGCACTGAATGTAAAACAGGATATGATCAAACTTGATGGCATGTCTATAGCTATGCATGATAGAACATTAGCTTTTTCCTGCTGATATGATGGGAATTCAGCAACTGAGCTTAGTTGGTAGCTTTCCCCAAGCGTTCAAAATTGTTATGAAAAGCTCCGATAATGGTGAAATTTATTACAGGGAAGTTATTGTAGAGACATGGAACGTGATCTGCAAACACGCTGATCTTGTGTTACCTTGTCCTGATTCAGAAGTGAAATCCTGAGATTCAGAAGTAGCTGAAGGCTCTATCTGAGGGATCTTGCAGGACTGCTCCTGTTCCCATTCCTCCACCTCCTGTTCAAGCCTCCAGTTGTCCTCTTGTATGTAATTCTGGAGTTCAGGTGGCAGAAGTTCTACTTCTTTCTGAAACTGTCCCGTTTCTGCATCAGAAGAAGCATCTGGAGAAAAGCAAGATTTTTTGTTAGCAATGAAACACGCAGCAGCAAGATAATACTGCTGCAAACGAGGAATAGCTAGAAATGTTAAGGAAGATTGATCAAATGGATTGGAAAAATAAAGAAGGAAACGAATATTTTTTCCTGGAATTTGAATTCAGGATGCTCTATAAACAAGTACAAGAAGATGGTAGATGGTCAGCTCTTTGGGGAAGGGGCCGTCTTTTTGTTCTGTGTTTATACAGAACCTAGCACAATGGGGTCCTAGTCCATGACTGGTACTCCTATGCACTATGGTAATCCAAACAATAACTAACCATAGAAAGGTACATTTCTGCATGGTGCATCTGGGCTCAGTAAACCCTCTTGAAGTAACAACCAGGGCTGAGAGAGGGCATAGATTTCTCTTTACCTAAGGCTACCATAATGCTACAGATGTGGCTTAAAATGACAATAACCAGAAAACTTGGAGTTCAGCTTAAAACTCCGCACTTCAACCACTACATGAAACTGAAGGGTACGAAACTGCAAGGATTCCAGGTAGTGAGTGATTTTATACAGGTACTGAAATATCTAGGCATAATGGGACACTGGTTAATAATGGTATTTCAGCTGTATAGTACCACTTAAGAAAAAATATAATTAGGAGTGTATCTAATACCGAATGATAATGCCCTAACCCAGATTCTTTCCTTTATAAAAATACTTAAAAGTACAAGGGTCTTTAAAAGCACTAAATGTATATGAAGTCTCATTAAAAGCATAGGATGGGTTCAGTGTAGAAACTGAAATGTCAGAGCACTAGGAAGACAAACAAGAACTTGTTTCAGCTTCCACATTCCCATTAGCTAGATTCTGCAATGACTACTGCTGCATTGTTTGCTTCTATTATATCAAAATGAGCCATGTACGAAATTATTAGGCTCTTCTAGATGGTCAACAGCTGTCCGATGCAAGTAGCTGCTTACACACTCGTGCATTGTAAACACACAATTACAAGGATCAGTTATCATTAGTGCTAATTCATCTCAGGCACAGAAGGGATGATACGCTGCATAAGCAACATGCACTGGGTGTGCTGTGTATATTATGCTACCACTATCTATCAGAAGCCAAAACAAAAAGCAGGGTGTGTAAATGGCCAGGCCAAAGTCGGAAACAATCTGTTTGATCTTATAAAGGATTTGCCGACTGCACACAGACACAATGAGAATGCCAGAATACAGGCCAACTGAAATACAAAGATAAATGCAGGACTGGACATTTATATGGACAAGAAGAATAGTTACAGTTAATGCTAAGAAAAACCCTGAAGCATGAGGTTAAGACAATCTCCAACAATTAGGAATTAGGACATCCTCAATTTAATGGGAGACAGATTAGCCCCCTGAAGCACCTGGTCTGGCGACTGTCAGAAAGACAAGGATACTAGGATAGATGGACAAGGGGGCTGACCCTGTATGGCAATTCCTATGAGCCTGCATTAACCAAGCTATATGAAACAATACTTTAGTATCATCCCGAAAGGTCTGAACAAGCGCTCACCTGGGCTGGTGAATCAAGCACAAGACAGGGAGCATCTCATTTTTATCTCACGTCACATATCCGTTTTGCTTCCAACTCCCTCTTTGGCCATGGCCAAATTAAACCCCCGCTGTCACAGCTTCCCTATCCACAGAGCAGGGATAACACTTACTAGTGTCACAGCGGTATTGAGCAGGTTAATGATCATTCAATGCCATGAAGGCAACACACACCACACAAGTGACTAAGTACTACCTGCAGCTTTGGTTCTAGTACCTGCAACAAAGTGGGACAGCTTATCATTGATGTACATCAGACAATAGGCACTGGCATTCCTCAGGCCTCCATATGAATCTCTCTCCAGTTCTTCCCAGGATGATTCTGTCACAGAGATGTCATTGTATTTGAGCCAGCTCTTCCGGGGCTGGTAGTATATGTAGGCCCAGTAGTGACCGGCATTTGCTTGGCCCTCGTGAACCAGGACAGCATGCAAGCGATAAGGAACCTGAAAATTCACATGGACATGATTTCTGGGCTTATCTTGAATGGATGAAGTAATTGAAAATCTATGAAGACATTCACAGCTGTCATATGCTTAAAAATTGTCCATTCGTACATTTGACTGCCTGATGTAAACAGATTCCCTTCCCCCTGATGAGCTCAGCTTAAAAACACTTCTATCCACTACCAGTGTGACCATGAAATCCTAAGCCTGACCACCCCACTGGTATCCAAACCTGTCAAACTAATTTCATGTTTCATGTGTGGCAGTCACCATATCTCATCTAAATTATTTAATGAGTTTCTTACTACTGAAGTTCTTTCTAAAATGTTTGCCAGAGACCCATGATGTGCCAGACACAAGTTCTTCTGGTTCCTATTGCTGGGGTGAAAGATAATTGGAACTTGGAGCCAAGCCCCCTTGCATTCAAATCTGTAACAAATTCTCAAGCAGTCAGCCTGGCTGCCTGTAACAGAGCCTTGTGCCTGGCAAACAGAAAGTGTTTTCAGGACTAAGATTGGAGAAGCATCCCACAAGTGTTTGTTGTATACATTTTTAAAAATGCACTTACTCCAGTGGCTTTGATTCTCTGAATACACCTCTGTAATTCCAAACTATACGATTACCTGCACTGCTATGTGGTGACAGAACCTATTGCAAAGTACACTACCCAAAGACCCCCTTCTCACACCAGAGAGTAGAGAATAGTTCAGGTTGATAACCAAAACCGATCCAAAAATAAAGCCCTCTCTGCAGAGTCTACTCAGGACAGAAGTTCCCCAGGTCCTTCCTGCCTAAAGTATCTGAGTGACACAGATCAGAGGATACTTCATCACTCTCAGATCTTGGGAATCTGACAAGTCTGAGGACACCTATCAATCCTCCTTGAACACTCAGGTTCCAATAAATGATCTAAGCATCTTATAGCTAAAGCCCTATTATCTCTGGTCTTGTAGGCTGTAAGGTAGTCATCTGCACTAGGGAATAACTGGAACCAGATGCAGAGGACAGGTGTGTAATTTTCAGATGCCTGTTCAACCTATGCTTCCTGTTCTTTGATACAGAAACAAATGAACCCGAGAGGAGCCTGGGACTCTCAGTAAGTGGCTGCTCTACTCGCAGGTAAAGATTCAGAGACCTCATGCCGTGGTGGATGCAAGAAGTTCTTCTGCAGATAGGCTCAGACTCAGAACCACATGACTGGCTCTTTCTCCAATGGATCAGAGACTTCTCAGGCAAAGACCTAGAAGGCCCTCTTGGTCTGACGAAGTCCCCTCCGGCTTATGTGGGCCCAAGATCCAGGCTCATTCCTAGGCCAGTTCTTGCTGGAAAGCCTTTATTATTTGTTTGCAGTATTTACAGGCATTGCAGTTCCTAGCTGGTGGGCAGATGGAGCAATTGCCTATCTAAGATGTCATACATTGCAAGGCATTCACAGTGAAGGTGACTTGATAGAAATATTAGGTCAAGGACAGAAGTAATTAAATCTGAACACTTTCCCCAGGCACAGAAAATGTAATTGTCAGAAAAAGTCCAAACACAAAACAAGAAAAAGCTAATGACAATCCCCTTTTTAAAACTCTAATCCTAATACAGGGAGAGGACTAGGTTCTGCATCCACTGAGGCTGAAAAGCACAGAAATGAGACAGTTGGCAGTGGAGGAGTTTCTGGACTCTTGGTTCTAGAAAACTGGAAGAGAGCTCATTCCCACACTACCTCTTGCTCCATCCCCAAACAGCTTTGAAACAAGTCCAGTCACCGAGTGGCAGGGCAAGAGATCTCGCATCAGGGATCTACTGAGGCAATATCATGTAGGTAGGTAGAACTACAAAGTGCGAATCAGCAGAGAGAAGAATTCTGAGCCCTAAGCCAGGCCATCTTGCACCGAGAAATCAGCTATCTATAACCAAGAACACACAAAGGGGCTGACCTGTTACATACTAAAGGGAAAGGGCAGCAAAATAAAGGCTAGAGTTTACCTCAGATTTCATCAAGAAAGCTGGGGGGGGGGAAACACTTTCTTGAAAATCCTTAAATTTTTTAAAACAAAATTTTCCTGGGGAATTTTTGAAATATGCTAAAGCAGAAAAAGTAAACTGACCACCAACAACTTGGATTTCACATTATACAATGGGCATTGTTCAACTGGTAAACATAGTAGAGCATGACTACCCTGCAGTGACATAGGGAGTTCATCCTTCAGGGTCTTTGACCAATCCAGATATTTATGACTCTACAAAATTCATCTTAGCATGTGCAGGTGCCCAAGTGCTAATGGGAGAAACTGACAGTGACAAGTGTTTATCTAAGATTATATTAAATGCATTATGTTCTGTTTGTTTTTAGGTTCATGGATCCTATTATTCACCTACTAAGAACACCATTTTAAATAAGTTATTTCCCTCCTCAGAAAGGCATGTGTTTCGTTTCAAAGCGAACTTGGCAAAACATTTAGACACCCACCCCTTCCTACGTACATGCGTGCAACTTCCCTAATATTAATGTGACCTATAGGCACACACCAGCAGCACTATATCATTTTAATGAGCCCCTATATGAAAACCTAACAAAGCCACACTTCCTACCTGACGGAGGACAGGGTCACCATACATTTGACCAATGGATTGATTGATTCTGGTAATACAGTCCTTCAGATCTATTGAGAAGAACAACACAGATCATCAGCTTTGTTTAGATAGTGCCCCCTTCACTCCAAACACATGGGAGTACAGAGGTAATCAGAACACAGGTCCTTGCCTGCCCTCGGATACAATCATGCAGTTACTACCACAGAAGTTAATAGAAAGTTGTGCATGCTTATCTTATGATAGACCAGGGCCCTGTGTGTATACTGGACATCACATTACATATAAGGATTATTGGTACACTCACTGCTGAAAAGCAGCCACCTCTGGGGTGGAGCATGGTTCAGGAGTTATCCAGTTGAAGCTAGCAGAGGGAATTTAGGTTAGCAAAAGGCTGAAATGCACGATAAATACTTGAGGCCAACCTTGGATGTCCTGCTCAATCTCGCTCCTCCATCGCTGCAGGCACGTCCTAACTAGGCTCATCTCCTCCTCAGTGACCACACGAGGAGCTGGGCATTCAGGCATTTCTGCTGGTAAACAGGAGGGCTGGGGCAGCTTGCTCATTAATTCTTCCTGGGACGGAGGGTTTATCAGAGTGGATGCTGCACCTTCAGTGTTCTCAGTACTTTCTGTTTCTAATACACTATGAAGCAAAGGCCACATATTGATGGACATATTGTTCAGGCTGCTGTTTCCAGAGAGCATACTCAAGTTCACATTGCTTTAAAAAAATATTCAAGATCTGAACAAGCAAGTTTCCATCCCAGATGATGCCAGGCTTACACTTATTCACTAGTCAGGGAACAGTTTGGTAGTGCAGTCACTTCCGAGAGGACCAGATCCCAAGACAAGAGGTGATGTAAAAGCGCGAGTTCTTACAGGACTCCACAGTGAAGCATAGAGCCACAATCCACAGCACTGACAATTCCTTCCCATTTTACCAGAGAACTCATTTACTTGCTTGCTTAAATTCAGAGCGCAAGCCAACCATGGTGGGCAGATTTGTGATACTTCAGTATTGTACTATTTTAATGGTTGATGAAACAAAACAAAAGATTACTACACTGTGCAAAGAGTTCACATAATTTATCTCAAGATTACTGCTTAAACATAGCAGTTTGACTTTGTTTCTGGAGAGGGAAAAAAGCACAAACTGGATGTCGTGTTATCTGCACAGATTGGTAGCACCCATCTGGGAGCAGGATACTCAAAAGCAGGGACTATCTGTGTTGGTGTTCATACCACACATCCCCAAGGTCCCGAGTGCCTAGACAACTGAACCATACGACAACAGCTCCTGGAGCAATGATCCAGGACTCTTTAGCTCAAAAGGTCAAAGCTCTTTCTTTAGCCAACAAACTTTTTTCTTTCCTCACCTATTTTGCTGCAGAGGTTCATTCAGACCACAGCTCTCAGCTGGGGACTGTGCAGGAGTCATCTGAGAGTCCTGAGCAGAGGGAACAACTAAAGGTAGCTTTGTACTGGCAAATTCAAGAACATACTGCAGCATGTCAGGTAATGGGAAGCGGCTTGGGCCAGAGCCATATTTCATGTATCTAAAGAACAGAAGCAAGACAGCAGAGGTCTGTTAACTGAATCCACACACAACTCATTTTACACGGAGAGGAAAATAGTATGAGCAAGCCATATTTATTATAAAATATAAATGCCTAGTGGTTGCTGGTTATACTAATAACTAACTGTTGTGTTACTTAAATTAAGCTCTTGAACACAAATAGCTCTTATTCAATTTCATGCCTTGTTTAAAGAGAAAAACACCAACTTGAGGGGGAGGGAGTTGGCTGCTTACCTTTCCAATTTCTGCTGAAGAATTGCTATTTGCTTCCTCAACTTCCTCGTCTCCTCTCTCTTCTTTTGAATAATCTCTTTACTGCTGTACAAATACCTAAACAAATAGCGCCCCCCCCCAAAAAGTGACTGAGTGAGATTTGTATACCTCTAAGCTCTGCACCGTCTCTCATATGCATACATTTTAACATTTCCCTGCTCACAGACCCACCCACCCCTCTATTTCTGTAGTTAGAATAAAACAGAGCAAAGTGTGAGGAATCAGTTTCGAAATACAACAGCCTTGTAAAATCTCACCTGTCCATATAAATAATCTGGGGAAATTCTAGCTTGTTGTGAATCTTCTCTGGCTGTCCTAGTGACTGATTGAACTCGAACCGGGAGAGTTCAAAGGTTAACACCGGAGGGAGCTTTGTAAACCAACGCTGTAACAAACAGAAATGCCCCAACGAGGGCACAGGTTTTGAGAGGATTGCTGAATGGCACATTTTATATCAACAAGTAATTCTGCCCCCCCAATAACTTTCTTCCCATATACATACAAAGTGTGTACTAAATCAATATGAGTTGCTATTTAGAAAGCCTAATTTTACAAAATATAAGACTTCCACTTCCATTTTAGACCGTCACCATACAAAACATAGTTAAATAATATCCAGAAAGTCAATATTTGATGCCCAGGGCACTCAGATTGATAGACTTCCATCTAGTCAAGGAGTAAATTTAGAATAAGTTGGCAAATGCTACACTGAAACCATGTCTGTAGGCCCACTGAGAGGGAGAGTTACTTCACATTGCTGCTGGCACACAAAGAACATCAACAAATAGCAGCCCTTAACCAATCTCTGTGCACTCAACTACTCTCTTGGTCTATTCAGAAACTGTTTAGCTTAAGAGGCACAGACAACAGACCACCTTCTCAGTATTTGGAGTGCTGCTCTAAGTGCCACATTGAAAAGGTTATTCGTAGTTGCATTTATACTTTTCCTGGCTCCCAGCTTTCAAAAATATTTCTAACATCCATTGCCAGAAGAATATTTCACGCATTCTAACGCAGTGCCAGACAGACAGTACCCTCCCCCTTTTGGGCTCCTGGTAGTACACTAAGATAATACTGCTCTGAAAGATCCATATCAGAAAGCCAGAACACAACGGTTCATCCGCGGAATCCAAATGCACCAATAATATTGACAGTGAGGGCCAATATTAATGTACACAGAGGGAAGCTGCCATTTATCATGACCCTTTTGAGAAAAGTCAACCAAACATCCTCATAAACAACAACAGCAGGGAAATGTTTATACACCTGCTATCAAGGTAAAGACACAGATTTCTAGTTAATCCTGCTGCATATCAGGCTTCAAAACACTCACCTAAGGTCTCAAAAGATAAAATGCACTTTATTTTCCACGTCCCTTATCATGAAGTCCTCTAGTCACGACATCCTGGGAAGTTAAATTAATGAGCACAGATTTTCCAATCACATCTCTTAAAATTAAAAGTGACAGTCCTTGACTTATTTCCTTGTTTGAGACACTTTCCCCTACTTTTTAGTTAACCATTTAAAGGAACTAAAAGCCACGGACCTCTCCTATCACCTGTTTAACTCCATCTTGCTCACACTGCCTAAGATTTTGCACAACACCAATCCTACCAGAAGTCTGCTTCAACTGTGTCTGGGTGGCTCTAACACAGCAGCAGCAATCACCAAAATCAGGCAGTTGATTCCAAAGTTAGATGGGCCTTAAAACAAGCTCATCCTGAAGTCGAACCTCTTTTTCCTTTTTTAATTCAAGTCACTGCAACTCATCTTTCAGGCACTCAGCTAATGAGTGAAATTTTTCCTCCTCCCCCTTTTCCCACCAACCCTTGCAAACATCTCTTTAGTGTTATCTTCCAGCACCTTTTTAACATGGCCTACAAGCTAATTTCCCTCAGTCTGCCTTCACATCACATGAATCCTTCCATCATTTTAGTTGACCTTCTCGGTAGTCTAATCTTCCCATTGCTTTTATCTATAAAGTGAGGCTGAATGCAATGTGTGTATCTTAACCTTTTACTTTGTCACAAAGTTAAGCAGCTTATGATTGGCTCATGATTTGAGTAATTAAAAAAAGGAAAAAAATAATCAGCACAGGCAGAAGGTTAAGAGTTAAAACGAGAGAGAAAAATGCACACTATAACAGGGAGAAAAAAAATACAAATTCCAAATGGCATACCATAGAGTTAAGCACTGTACTTTTACCCTCCGAAAATATGGAGGCAGTGGTTCTCCCCTACTCAGGTACAGGTAGGCTTCAATAGAAAGAGAGAGACTTTATCACACTTACACATCAGAAGCAGGCGCCTTTTTAAAAGGGTAAACTCCTGGAGTAAGTTACATTGGACAACAATGTCTTTACAAATAAACTAGGGCTTGGTGGCTTAGATATCAACTCACATTTAACATTAATGTACATTTAACAGACTGACCACGAAACGTTTTACATTTGGTGAAGAGGGAATGTTTACAGTCACCATTTTAAGTTACCAGGATACAATAGGACCTCCCCTCCACTACATTGAGTGCAGCCTTTGAAGAAGAGCAAATAATACATGCAACCAACCTCTTGTCCATACTTCACTGATTGATCAGAAGATAGTGGCTCAATCTCCCCTTCTACCATGGCCCCTTCCAAACATTCGTTCAAGTTCCGATAACCGTTTACCTGAAGGGGATACTGGCCAAAGGTCTCTATCTTAGAAAAGGTCTTGCCTGAATAAAGGGGAAGGAAAAAAAATATACCACCTTAAAACAACAACAAAAACTCTCTCCTCTCTAACTTATTTTAGTATATACAACTATATGTTTCCTACCAAAACAACAGCTTGTAACACTTCACGGGCTCTTGCAACAAATCACCCAAGATCTTTCATTGGGCAGGCAGGTTAGACACGTCATCACAGTAAAGAAATTAGGCCCCTTTGGCTCATCTTCTCTAGAGGTGAGACCCTTTACAAATCTATGCTCATGACAGTGAGTATTTAATAGAGGATACTACCCTTTGGAGAACAGACTTTACATTATATTCACCGGCACTAGGACAACAATATAAAGATAATCTTATCTGTACGCCTATTGTAATAGCGAAGAACAAGACAGACAATCTCACCAAGAAACTGCAACAACACACAATGTCACAAATCATATCATAGATCTACACTACAGCAACAATCAAACCACTCAGAAAAAGAGTTAAATGTAAAACCAAAAATCTCTAACTTACCCTCATGGACCCCTTCAGTCAAGAAAGTCCCATAGAAGAGTTGCACCATTGGGTTTTCTGATTTGTCTCGAGGGCTGCTGTTTTCAAAAGGAGAGTGTACGCATTTTGTTAGACAGAAAGGGAGCATATGGGTGAGTTACACTTGCCTTCACACGAATACATATATATTAGAATTTTTATTTTGATGGCATCAACAAAATATAACCAACATTAATATAACTGGAGGAAAAGGTAGCAAAAATGGCCCCAAACCCAAGCTATGAGGGAATAGGTAGTGTGTGTTTAAATCCTCAATTAATAAATAAGTATTACATATGCTGCCTTTTTTTTTTTTTTTTTAAAAAAGGCCACAAGGTATTAAGATGGACTTAAATTTAACAGCTAAACCTCAGCCTTGGGCTTTGTGCCTAAAAACAAACAAACCAAAAGAAGAGAAAGCCATCAATTTGTAGTAATACTTATAATTATAGTCTACATTTTGAAAGTGCCTTTAGAAGGATCCCAAGATGCTTTTGTAAATATCATCATCCCATTTATGTAGATAGGTAACACAGAGGTGGGAGTGACTTGCCTAGATCAGGTTACAGAGTCAGCCAGTGTCAGAATCAAGATTGCAACCCAGGAGTCCTGGACACTTGACCTCTATTCTAACCCATAATTGCTGGTTCTGGATAAGTTTGCACTCAGAACTCGAGTTATACATTTTAAACAGACCAGTTTATCCGTACAGACAAAAAAATTACTCTTCTGCACTTAAAAAAATCATCAACAGTTATTTAAGTGTAAAAAGCAGATGCTTTTCATACAGCGTGACCCCGTACATGTCAAGACCTTTTATTATAATTGTAACTATCACACTACAGATTAATGCACTATTCAATATGAATTTAGCGCACCGGCTGTACCAACTCTAAACAATACAATATGGAGTTTATTACCTGGTGAATAATCCATGTTGAAGAGTTCCATAAAAACTTATGTACTCTGTAGGTCACAATCGCATTGAATAAAAGCACCTATCTAGGCAAGAAATGCTGATGCAAACACAGAATGCTGAATATTATTGAAAAAGGATTATCCTGACTGGTGCAGTGAAGAAATGGTTTCTTGGTTTGCTGAAAATATTAATTTAAACTCTAGCATCTATTAGCCAAACAGTCTAATTAAAAATCTATTTTTCTGGACAGTAAGTAAAAACAACCCAAAATATAAAAACTCACTTTACATTCACAGACAGCTGGAATGCATCCTCTAGCCAATCCAGAAGCTTGTGCGTGACTTCGCTCACATCTTGCTAAAAGAGAGCCAGAAATTGGAGAGTGAAAGATTCTACCAAGAAAATGCTCTGATAGAAGCAGGTTTTATTAAAATGTCACACTTGTTCAAATATACTCACAAAACTATTGTGGTATCTCTAACCATGTGAATGAGCTAGGTGTTATTACCACTATTCTAGGTCAAAGATGAACACTTTATCCAGCCCTGTACTAAGTCAGAGGAAACTATGCTGGGGACATGGAGAAGAAGTCAAGTTCCAAATCTGGTGGTCCCCAACAGCAACTCCGATAGCAGTGAAGGGACAAATTTCACATTGGCTATTTAACTGTCTTTTTGGTATGCATGTGCCTTTCACAAGAGGGGGTTTTACACACACTTGTCAGGTGAAACACAGACAGGCAAGCGTTTGGAATTATAGTAGCATTAAGTGAAACATGACTGTTTATATCTTTATTAGGGCTGTTCTGGGGAAAGCCAAGAGGCATTGTATCCATTTTACCTGCTGTTCGTCAGCTGATTTAAATGCGCCTTTTAAAAGTTCCAGTGATGCAGTGGGGTCTACAAATTTACGATGTGTCCCCAGCATTAAAGCAAAGAGACACTGAAGTTCCTGCATGAATGCAATATTTCTCTTTTCCTAGAAAAGAAGAGAGCACAATAGTCTACTGCTCAATAAAAGTAGGACACATATATGAAGAGGTAAATTAACAGGGCCAGCACAAGGAACGTTAATATAATGGACAGTCTCATAAGAGACCAACTTGTGTTAGGAACCCATATCTCCTTCCCCATGATGCAAGGATCTTTCTTGAAAGCAGATCTGATCACGAGTCAAGTACATGGGAGAACTGAAGGATTTGCAATGGTTCCTCAAAGTGGGAAATCTGGGCTCAGGAGAGGTGCCAGAAGTAATATGACATCTAGAATAAGAAGGCCAAGCTGTACTCTAATATTCTGAAGTTCAGACTTTCGTTAGAGACTTGGGGTTTTAAGGGGAGGTAGGGGGGAAACTGAGAGAAAACAAGTCCTGAATTTCTGGAGTCACCAAAACAGATTAACAAGGCACAGATTTTCCACTCTCTCTGCAGTTCCTAGTTTTTTAGAAACGTTATAGGAGAAACTTTCAACCATTTCTGTAATAACTGATTATCCTCAAGAGCAATTTCCCACCCTTGTCTACAAACAGCAAGTCAGTTTTTATAGTCACCAATACAAACGGCCAGAATGCCCTGGAAGAACCAGGCGTTTCCAGGAGAACTTACACTGCGACTTCGACAATTCTCAAGCATGCTTTGCGGGAGAGAATAACTAAGGACCAGCCTACGAAATTCCGGCAGCTGGAAGAGAGACTGAAAGGAAAAAAGGGTTAAGAGAGACTGTCTGGGCTGGTCAACTCAAGTCTGGACTTGGGTCTCATCTTCATTTGCCAAGCCCATGTCATTCTTTGCAGACTGTATGTTTTTCTTACTCACCCCCAACTTCTTCAGTGACTTTCTCCTTAAGAAGTAAAACCTTTAACAGCTCTGACCTTCCCCTTCCCCAAGACTCAATTCCCTCCCAACTAAATTTTTCAAGTAAATTAAGAGAAACCTTTTGGGAAAGAGGAGAGTTCTTCCCACCCCCAATACTTATCTGCTGATGTAAAAAGAGCCCGAAGAATTAAGTGTGTTTGGTTCTTCTTTCTGCTGTCTCTTCTCATTTTACTAATCACTAATAATAATCGCTAATAATGCACCCAGTCTAGTTTCTTATTAGTTCAGGCATCTAAGCCACTGTACTCCATTAACTGGAATCTGATACACCATATGCTGTGGAGCCAGTGTTCAGTCCAGTAAAATTACATTATCATCACTTTACCAGTCTGGTTTCTGTCATTCAAGAAGTATTTTACCATTGTACCATGACACAGAACACACATTTGTAAATAATAATAAATACATGGATATATTTATATAGCCTTTTTTCTGTATCTCATTTTTGCTCTGACCACTTGGCTGCTGGTTTTGAACAGGATCAGAGTAAACTATGCTGCCACAAAAAGAAACTCACACTTTAGATCATTTTTGTTTAAAATGTGAAGTAGAAACCGGGTGGGCCTGCACAATCTGCTCTCAAATCTTAGTTCTGTAATGGAAGTCTCCCAAAAAACTGCATCCCAGGGTGAAGACACCCAGTTTTTCTTTTTATATTAATGTGAAGTTACTGATAGGAATATGGAGAAATACAGAATAGCTCGCTGGCTCACTGTGACCTTGGGAAAGTCAACTAACCTCTGTGTGCCAACGTTTGCCCACCTGCAAAAAGAGGAGATTACTTCCATCATGGAGGTGCTGCGAAGCTTATTTAATTGCATGAAATGCATGTTTTGACCCCAAGATGGCAGGTATTACAAAAGGGTAAAGTATTACTGCTACCACTGCATTACCTGAATGACTGCACTAAACCAGCACGTATTTCCAATGTTCTTCATGCCAACAGGCCAGTCATCCACCCTCCTCCAGTCATTCTGCTTGGGATTCTCTCCCCAGACTTCACACCGTTTCCTTTTGGAGCGATTTTTGTTTTCAGCAGCATTTGCTTTGTGGGTCCTGTCAGAGGACAAGTATGCAAACATGACATTGTAAGAAAGCATCACATGAGAGTCTTGACAGCCTTTTAAAAGGGA